CAGTGGCGCATGCGCAGTTACCTTGAAGGCCTCCGGCCCCATGAGGCGGCTCTTGCGATCCTGGTCCTTGAGGATCAGGAAGGGCCGCCCGTACTCATCGAACGCGAGAGTCCCCATCGCCGACATGGTCCCACCACAAGCGGCCAAGCACTCAGCGCCGCTCTCGCACCAACCGACAGAGCACTAGCCCCTCGCTGCTCCCACACCCAACGTAACGCAACGTAACGGGTGACCGCCTGTCGGCGTCGCCTCTTGCGATCCTGGTCCTTGAGGATCAGGAAGGGCCGCCCGTACTCATCGAACGCGAGAGTCCCCATCGCCGACATGGTCCCACCACAAGCGGCCAAGCACTCAGCGCCGCTCTCGCACCAACCGACAGAGCACTAGCCCCTCGCTGCTCCCACACCCAACGTAACGCAACGTAACGGGTGACCGCCTGTCGGCGTCGCGCACGCGCAGTAGGCGACCGCAGGAAGGATTTCTCAGTTGGGACCAATATGGCGCCCTCGCCGACCCCTTCTGGAAGCGTCTAACGGAAAGAAGGGCGCAAGTTAGACTGGAAGAGACCACTAAACGGAACTCCGACACACATCCTATTCGCAGTGTCCATGGCGCGGCAGCGAGAGCAGAACGAGACTTACCGGTGAGATGTAGGGCGCAGTACCCTACAGTGCTGTACGGCCTGCCACAAGTCAGCCCCTCGCCCCCCGCGTTTCGGGTGGTATCGTCCACTCCATTGCGCCTGCGTCGGGCCGAGTTCCGGACGAAAGGGGATTTCCCGCCTACTGAAGGCTCGCGCTGGTGAGTGAGGGGGCGGGGCTGGCCTGGGGCAGGGCCACGCGCTTGTCTCGCGCCCACATGGCTCCTCTGGCACCAGGCCCCACCCAGCGGCGCTGGATCCCGCGTGGTGCATGTCACACTTGCAGGGCGGGGGAGCGGCCACTTGTGTGCGCGAATTTCGCGTGTGAGCTGCTGTGCTCGTCTTCTCGAAGATGTTGGTCAAGATGGAAGCACGGAAGTGGAACAAGGGAGGGAAGCCTCGCTTGTCTCGCGCCCACATGGCTCCTCTGGCACCAGGCCCCACCCAGCGGCGCTGGATCCCGCGTGGTGCATGTCACACTTGCAGGGCGGGGGAGCGGCCACTTGTGTGCGCGAATTTCGCGTGTGAGCTGCTGTGCTCGTCTTCTCGAAGATGTTGGTCAAGATGGAAGCACGGAAGTGGAACAAGGGAGGGAAGCCTGCACCTGCACCTGCACTGTCTTTGCTATTGTAAAAACTTTAAAAACAACAAATAGTCTGGTAGCACTTTAAAGACTAACACAATATGTAGCTGGTATCTTGAGCTTTCGTGGGCACCGCCCACTTCTTCAGATGACTGTGCCCACGAAAGCTCATGATACCTTCTGCATGTTTCGTTAGTCTCTATAAAGTGCTACCAGATCATTTGTTTTTATCTACATGTTTTGTTAGTCTTTAAATTACTACCAGACTATTCGTTTGTTTTTTCTGTTAGACTAACTTGGCTACCCCTCGGAAGCTTTTGCTATAGTAGTCTAAAGGAGAAGAACTCAGGACTGTCAGGCCAATACCTTCCATAATCATTACATTCATTTTACGTGAAAATATGAAATTCAGTTTCCCTTTAAGATTTTAAAGGCACATTGTGCCTGTGATGTTAATACATGACAGTGATTTGAAAGAATTAAACATTTGTACAGAAATTGTTCTTTCAGGACAAGGGTACTACCATAGTATTCCAAAGATGGCCAATAAATGAAGTACATAAAGAATGTGTTGTATTCTTTAAATTGAACCATAGTTTTATTAGCAGGCTATGGCCTTTAGTTTCTTAACTACTTGTTTTGTTACTTTCTTTCTAAATGAAAAAGATTAGCTGTTCCTTTCAGGACTGAAAACAGTTCAGTTTTGATGAGAAAAGCTATTCATACTTAAATTCTACATACAGAGAAATAAGACACTGCCACCAAAAATGTTCATTTATTATTGCAACTTTTTTATTTGGCTTCTGTTTATATTAATGAGCATTCATATATAAATTTCTTCTCAATAAAAATAGGCTGTTTGCTTTTTTGTATTTATTCCTTGTTCTCCAACGCAAGTATGGGGGCCTTGGATGAGCCAAAAAGTCAATTATGGTAGAATAAATTTTAAAATTCAGAAGCGTCAGGGGGTAGCCAAGTTAGTCTGTTATAGGAAAAAAAATAGTTGGTCTGGTAGCACTTTATAGACTAACAAAACCTCTGAAGAAGTGTGCTGTGCCCATGAAAGCTCATGGTACCATCTATATCAGCGTTTCCCAAACCATGGGCCGTGGCCCGGTACCGGTCTGCGGGGAAAAAATAACGGGCCTTAGCGTGGCTGTGGGGGTGTTGCAGGCTTCTGGAGTGTCCGTGTGGCACTGGGTCCCCCAAGCCCTGGGCCGGGCTGGGTGGAGGATTCAGCTGGATGTTCCGGACTCCTGGCAGAGGCGTAGCGAGGGGGGAACAAGGGGGACTGTTGCCCCTGGGCACCACGCTGGGGGGTTCCAGGCTGGGCTGCGGGGAGGGGGGAGGTGCGGGGCGCTGGGCTCGTCTGGGCTGCAGGAGGAGGGATGTGCCAGGAACCTGGTGCTAGATTCAAGGGGAGGGAGAGAAGGGCAGGGAATCAGTGATCGGCTCAGTATATCTGCGCAGGTTGGGGGGAGGTGCAGGGAAACGGAACTCAGCTGGGCTGTGAGAATGAAGGGGTACTGGGCTGTGGGAGTGGGGAGGTGCAGGGTGCTGGGCTGAACTGTGTGGGGAGTGGGAGGTGAGAAGCTGAGAGCTCAGTTTGGCTGCAGGAGGAGGAAGGTGCGGGACCCAGGGGCTAGACTCAAGGGGGGGGGCAGGAAATCAGAGCTGGGCTCAGCAGTTCTGTGGGGCTTGGGGGTAGGGGCAGGAACGGGGCTCAGCTGTGCTGTGCAGGGAACATGCAGGGAACCAGTGCAGGCCTCAACTGGGCTGAGGTGGATGGGGGAAGGCATAGGGAATAGAAGGGCAGCTCAGCTGGGCTGTGAGGGGCTGCAGGGAACTGGTGCTGCACTCCCTTGGATTGAGAGAATGGTTTTGGGAGAGGCGCAGGGAACCAGTGGCGGTGAGCAGCTCAGTTGGGTTGCAGGGGAGGGAGGTGCAAAGAAGCCTAGTGGGCAGGGGGGGAACCAGGAGCCCTGAAATGATCTCCCCATGTCCAAAAAATCCGTCATTTGGGACCAGTCAGGTACAGAGAGTGCTGGACCAGGGAGGTCCAATTCCTACCCAAGTCCCCTCCTTGTACCGTCCCCTCCTTGTACCCTCCCTCCTATCCAGACACCCCACCCCTAATCTGCTCCTGCCTCCCAGAGTGCCTGTGCCCCAAGGTCCCCCAAGTCCGGGCTGGGCGAAGGATGCAGCCAGGTGAAACAGTGAACATTTATTCATTTTTCATTCTTTTTTTATGTGCATTTATATTTTTGGGCTGCAAAAAATAGTACTAAAAAAACGGGTTCCAACTAAAGTAAAAAGTTGGGAAACCCTGGTCTAGCTTTTTCTCATCATCTTACAGTCCATTTATCCAATCCATATTCCCTTAACTTGCTGGCAAGAATATTGTGAGTGACCGTATCAAAAGCTTTGCTAATGCTGACACTGGGGGCTTTGGGAGGACCAGAAACAGTTTCTTTACATATTCTTCATTTGCCTACTGAATATGCAAATAAATGTTATCAGTCCTCCAAAATCTCATGAATGGATTTACTGGTCCCCGTGTCAAAAAGTTTGGGAACCCCTAATCTGCATGTTTTGTTGGTCTGGTAGCACTTTATAGTCTAATTGTTGTTGTTTTTTAAAATTCAGTTAGTTTCTGATGATTTTCTCCAAGGTGTCTTAATATATTAAGTGTAACATAAGCCTTAGAGATTTAGTATGTGATTTTATTATTGTTTGCTGTTCACCAGCAAGAAATAAATAGATATATAGTTGGCATTTCAAAGGAATTGTTACATATGTTTCCCTTTCTTCAGGCATATTTTGTCAATGTCAAAAGTACTTCAAGGAGAAAACCATACCCAGGACACCTTGCATATCAATCTCGATAATGACAGCCCAAGGAAAAGAAATTGGGGATTGTTTGTCACAGGCATTGTTGGTGGGACATTGGTGGTACTATATGCTGTTGTCACTCCATTCATAACTCCAGCACTGAGAAAAATTTGCCTACCTTTTGTACCTGCAACTTCAACTCAGATTGAAAATGTTTTGAAAATGTTACAACACAGAAGTGGATCCCTAGTTGACATAGGTAGCGGTGATGGACGTATAGTGAGTGCTGTCTCCTCTAAATTCATGTGCATGATACTATGTTATAGAAATGAACTACTTCTACAATAGTAAATATTTTCCATTATTCACCCCTTTTCTTGGTATTTGTGTAGGTTCTCTATCTTGTGTTAAAAGTTTTCCTCCCTGCCCCGAATAAATTCAGACAAAATCAATTGGATTGCTGTTTTTAAGTGTATATATTTCAGGCTTTCAAATGTTTAACACTTGTTCAGGAATACCTTTGGGCAAATAATGAAAAAAAAATTCTTCAAATAATGTGAAGTTGTTTGAATATGTTTGAGGGTTTTTCTTATAGTGTATAATGGAAAACATGTCCATTGATTAATTCCCATGGAAAATTCAAAATGTGTGGTATAAACAGTTTGAATATTTGACCAGTTTTATTCAGGAACAAAAAATATTTACTTTACCTTTTTCTACTTTTCTATACTTCTCCAATACAGTTTTTTTTAATTTTAGTTTTACATGATTTGATTTTTTTATTGTTTAAAGATACTTTTCCAGTCTGTAGGTTTTAAACTACTTGACATCTTGAAAGTTGCTAATTTTGTTACCATATACTGTAGACTCATGAGTCTATTGTTTTTAATGATCTTCTGAAATACAGAGGAGTGGATGCACACTTTTATTTATATGTGGGATTTGCAAGCTATTTCTTTATTTAAAAAACATGGAGAGTAAGAGTGATTTGTGCTATAGATTAATAAATACACATTTGGGAACAAAACTTTTTTTTTCTTTGCTAGATTAATTTGCCCAACTGAGTTCAGTTGGATTACTTAAACTGCTTGGTGTATTGATATAACTCAGAATTCAAAGAAATTTACTAAATTATTATTTAAATCTTGGAAATATATTGTCTAAAAGTCTTATTTTAAAAAAATAAGCAAACTGTTTAAACATTGGCTAGTGTGTGTTTGAAGTTAGTTTTATCATAACTTAATTGCATATCCATATGGCTTTGCAGTGTGCTGTATAATGAATTAAGAAAATACCTTGTACTTGCCTGTGTCAGAAAGGTCATGTACTCAAATTTTTTTACTGTGGCACTTTACCCATTTTGGGGGTCATTTTGTATTTCTGATTGTAGATGAGAGGGTGTATTTAGTGTTGTGTACTGCTGTACCCCAGGCAGTTGTTTCACATTTATTTTACAGGTAAGTCATTGAAACTACTTGCATGCTTAAAATTAAGCACATTAATATGTCATGGCAGTATTGGGGCCTTTTGCTCTGATCCTGCAAATACTTACTCCTGTGCTTAACTTCATTAATGGTAAGTAGTTATGTTGATTTCAGTAGGACTTCTCATGATTCTCAAGATAAGCATGTATGTGTGCTAATGTTTTGCAGACTGGGGCTTTGTGTTGAAGCAGCCAAAGGTGGATAAACTTAATCAATAAAGACATATGCCACTTTTCTTTTGGCTTATGCCATTGATAAAATTGCACTGTTTTGTCATGTTTCCTGTAACCACATTCATAGTTCCATACTACAGTTTATTCTGGCCCTGAATGAAGACTATTTCATCTTTTTTTGTAGGTGATAGCAGCTGCAAAAGAAGGCTTCAAAGCTGTTGGCTATGAATTAAATCCCTGGCTAGTCTGGTACTCCAGATACTGTGCCTGGAGGGAAGGGATGCATCATAATACCAAATTTTACATTTCAGATTTGTGGAAGGTATGTGTTGATTTTTTTTCACACATCTAGAAATCAAAGTATATAACAATTTCACTAGTGAATCAGAAGTGATCAATTTTAAAACACAGTGCTGTGGATAATATTAAAAAAACTCAACTATACTAAAACAATGTTAACATTACACACATAGGCATTCAAAAGTCAGGAAATATCAAAGGTAATGCAAAGCTGAGGTGCTCATGTATTATGAGGAAACTATTACAGTAGACTTTCGATAATCCGGAATTTATGGGACCTAGGTGGTGCCGGATTATCAGATATGCCGGACTATCAGGAGGTACTATATATATATACTGTATACATTATATACTATATATAAAGTGTTCTTAACCCTTTTTATTGTACATACTGTATACAGTATACTGTAATGTTTTAGTTTTTTTAAGCCTATTTTTACGCTTTTTGCTCAGTTCAGCTGCTGCCGGTGTTACCTTGTGACTCATTTTTTGCCGAAGCTCACTCACTAGGCTTTTGCCATTTTGATGCCAGACTGTCAGGAGTGCTGGACTATTGGATGCCGGACTATTAGAGTTTTCTGTAATTAGATAATTACACTTTCTCAAATAATTATATAACATTTTCTACAACTTTAACTATGCTAGTGTATAAAATATATAGTTCATGAAACTTTAATTATTTTTTTTTTGTATTTGAGACTAGTGTGGTTTTATGGTGTTATGTAACTGATTTATGTGCTCAAGGGAAGAGTTATGGTTTCACTGGCAAGTTCAACTTTATTACAGTATTTATTTTCTTGAGTATGCTACTGTACAGCCTCAGCATTGCCTTATTACAATATTTTTTTAAATAATGGAAGTCCCATGTATTTCTTTTAAAGGAAAGAATAAATTTTCCTAATTGGAATTATTTTTTTAGATTCAGCTAGAATGATTTGCTCTTTCAAGCCCTGATCTAGCAAAGTACACAAGTATATGCTAGCTGTGACTATTCACTAGCTTAAATGTTTTGCTTTTAATTTTTTGGTCCTCAGATATATTCCCCTTACAAGGAACATACTCAGTCAAGAGTTCCTTTGGAACCCCGATTCATTGAGTACTTTGAATGAGGCTTGGTGCTAGAAAGCCTACCTCCGTCAGAGTTTGATCCTGCATAATTGAAATCATTGGCAGGATATGTATGTTCATATGCAGCTTCCTTATTGTGCATTCATGTCATGTAGCCTTCTTTCATTCTGTGTGTGTGTATATGATGTATGCATACAATTTTTAAAGCAACATTGTGCAGCTTGATATTTTTTTCCGAAGTCTCATAATGCAGATGAATCAAAATATTCTTTTATCAGACTTTGTTGATGATTAATTCTCTGCAGGATTTCAACTTACCTTCTTCCTGCTGTTTCAGCCATTGAGTGATAAAGATTGGCAAGAATTTTATATAATGAGAAAAGCATATCTCCTCCCCCCCCATCTCCTTATGTTCAAAAACAGATAAGCTGTGTTCGAAAGCTTTTTTTGGTTTGTTTTTAAAAATATTCATGCTAAGGCAGAGAACTGACCTGGACATTTTCTTCCCAATAATTAAAAATTCCAGAAAGTTGTGAAGGACTCAAAACATAATAGAAATGGTTAGGCAATTTTAACTCTAGCTATATTGACAGGTGGCAAGTTTAGGATGTTAAATGGGAAAAAAAGTTTTTCTTAGTCATAAGAACAGTAAAAATGAGTATATTCATGAATTTGGGTCCAGAGCCTTGGTGACATTGAACCAGTTTTGTGCTACTTGATCAGTGCAAATCTACCCCATGTTGGGGAATACTAGGGCTATGTTAAGCTGGTAAGCTAAATTAAGCTACATTAATAGTAGGGCTGCGTTAAGTGGCTTCTGTATCATTCCTTGTTCCTGTTGTGGGAAGCATGGCTGTAATAAAGAGAAGACAATTACCAACACCCCTCCCCCCCACATCTCCTAGTATCCTCTCATATTGTGAATGTTCATTCTCCACAATGGCAATAATATATATTTTTTTTATAGGTTAGTTTTTCCCAGTATACAAATGTTGTTGTTTTTGGGGTACCTCAAATGGTAAGTTTTTTTCATTGTATTGTCTATATTGTGGTTTTATGACTATATTAGCAAGGTAGTCAGCATTAGGATACTGATCTATAAAGTGAGTCCACTTATCAATACTTTTGACATTTATGTCATTGGTTTGACAAAATGCTGATAATAGTTTAATAACATTGAAATAACACAACCTGTTGTCACATCTTGAAACTTGTGGAGAAGTTATAAACCTCAATTTTGTTCTTTTGAAATTTCGGTTTGTGCTCTGCCTCATGAAGTCCCAATTCCAATATAATCAGAACCATAATTTTGTGAACTCTTATAAACTCTTACTTAAATTATTTGGAAAAGTTAATGGAATGTTCAGCTGAAATTGATATGTAGCAAATTTTCAGTAAAATAGTTTTCAGAGAGGATGAATATTGACTAGTTTCAACTCACTTTTGTGGACTTACATGGCAAAGAATAGAGTATCGAACATTGTTTATATACTCTTTAAAAACTGAAAATACCTCAACTATTGAATTGTTTAACATCAGTTAGAGATGTTAAAGTATGTTTAACGTAACCGTGGAAGTGCTGAAATTTAAAGCTGGCTCCCCATGCGGACCGGCTCTTGCCTATCCCCTCCCCTGTGCTGCTGCCTCTGTATCCATGTGTACTGGGGGCCTGCTTGTAACTATGAGGGTTAATCAATGAGCCCAGGATCATTGGTTAACCAAGTACAGTACATGGTTACACTTTCACATCCCTAGTATCAGTTCATAGTACTGCAGTAATCTACAGTTGCCTTTGTAAAGATTAGTAAGATAGGGTGCTTTTAATATAGTTGCTAGTTCACAAAGCATACAGGGAAATTGTTTTTCACTTTGAGGAAGTTGTGTATCACCTATAAAATGTGACTTCCAAATGAAATTGTATGGCCGTTTAAAATTGCTGCAAAAATGGCACTTCAGGAGAGATCACTTTTAATGTTACAGTACATGGACTTATTCAAGCTTTGAAAGAATATTTTTGTCTTTTTTTCAAATGTTATTTGGTTATATTTTTCCCTTTTTTCCTTCTCATGTTAAGAAAACAGAATATTATATTTACATTTATAACTGATTCTTTTGTATGTTACGAATGCACTCAGCTCCCTTTTACTTTTTTCATTCATTTTGCTCTTCTTGTAGAGTGTAGAATTAAACACTGTTGTATTTGGTATATTGAAGGAAAGTCTGCATTATCAAGTGTTCCAGCAGTTTTATTGGATGCATTCCCAAGAGACTCAGTGATAAACCAACCATTTTGGTTGATTTACTGCAGTGTAGCAATCTTTATTCCAGAAGAGGGCAGTAGATGCCTTTGTTACAGCAATATCTGTAATTACAAAACAAAGTGTTCAATTGCATGATTTTGACAAGACTGTCATGTAATAATTGTTCTTTGAAGCAGTTAATGTGTGAGGAAATTAGACCACCCTTTCTGAACAGAATGATACCATGATCACACTCTGGCTCACTTGCTAATACAGATATATATGCAGTTAGAAATTCTGTAGCCGCATTGCAGAATCTCCAAGGGCAAAGGTGCAGAAGTAAATAAGTAAATGGTTACACAGAAAAACAAATGTGAGCAAATTGATCAGACATACTGGTTTGGAACAAACTTCAGAATTAGTAGCAGCCTAAGATGGGGTAAATTAGTTATCTATCCTGATGAGGTAGAAGAAAGAGTCTTAACCTTTGCAAAGAAAAAGTATTTTACTTCATCTAATTATTGAGATGGTATTTTTTTTCTGAGTCCTTCTAGTAATAAAATACTTCAGACATTTGGGCCCATTGCATTTAGGGAAACATTTGTAACCATACCAAAAACTAAGTAAGTTTTGAAGGTCTCCGTTTGTGGAATGGCCTATTGACAGAAGTGTAGTGGTTTTAAGAGCTCAGCCTCAGGATGCTTTATAACACATTTTCTCTATCCTTTTTTCTGTGGATGAATGTATTTTATTACTTGTAGGAAGATCAGTTAGAGCATTGGCCTAGTTTGAAGCCATAAACATACAGTACTGATTTTTATATTGAACATCTAAGACTAATTTACGAAGACAGAGCCCAGATTTATTGACTTTTAGGCTGTACTGTAAGATCTTTGTTCTCAGGAGCTTTCTCTGAAGGAGAGGATTGATCTCTGTATTTTGTGAGTGGATTGAAGGGAGAGGATCTTATCTGTGGTGGCTATCAATATGTCTAAGACATTTATTGTTACTCATAATTTTATAGGTAAACTAATTTATTTTAAGATTTTTTTATATTTCTAGTTTGTCGACTGAGGGATTAAAGTTATAACAGGATTATAATGAACATGTATAAATATCAAATGTAATTATCCCTGATAATGTAGACATGAGACACAACCACTTTATGTTTTGTATATTAAGAATTAGATTAGATGCCTATTTATGCGTGCTTTAGTAATTTAATTTCTATACAGAATTAGTTTCATTTTCAGGTTTATCTTGGCTCTATAAGAAATAAAGAAACATCAATGTGGATATTTACAGTCTTTCTTTCTTTATGGAAAACATTAAGAGCATTGGACACTTCATTAGTTTAAAGTTATTTTTGGTAAAATGTAATTTCATTATCTGAAAAGGAATCCTTTTGAAACTTTAATATAGCTATTAATAGAATGATACGTAACAGAATTGTACAACTAGATAAATTTTTCAAAGTGGAATCCATTTTGCAGCCTTTGATAATGTTTCTCTACATTTGTCTTCTGGCCATAGTGAAAAAAATGTCTTGTGGTCTGAGGCCACTGATGACATGGAGAATCCCATATAAACAATTTGATGTAGTTTTAAGAAACTCTGGTTCCTTTTAACAGAATTGTTACTTGATATATGTGACTTATTTTAAAATGGGTTTATGTGCAAAAATTAGTTGTTTTTTCTTTATTACATGGTCTTTTATTTAGAATTTTTAAAAAATCATAGTAGACAAAAGGAAATATGTCTTCATACGACACTTACAACTAGTCTGTGGAATTCACTGCCATAAGCAGTTTTTGAGTCAGAAATCTAAATGGTTAAACATTAACATGTATAAGCATACTGTGATCCCTTTACTGAGCCAGGATACAAATTAGAAGGCCTGTCAGCCTTCATGTTTCAGGTCATAAAGCAGTGAGCATCTGGGATTAGAATTTTTTTTTTCAGGTCTAGATACCTTATGGAACTCTTTCACGTTCATTTGAGCATCTGGTGTAAGTTATTGAAGATAAAACAACCACTTACATGTATCATTGGTCTGGTCTGTCAAATCCTTTTGGGATAGAGCCAAGGAGACTGACCTCTCTGTAGCATTGTTTCCTTTTCAATCATGAAATTATTCAGCGACTCCACCTTCTAGCACCATTCCTATTGATTTGGGTCATTAGCCATCAGCGATGCATTGACTTCCTTAAGAGCTGTGATAAAGGCATGAAGCAACATAGAAGCAGTAGCCTCTAAGGGTACGTCTACTCTAGCTCGTTAGTTTGAGGTAGTAGGATATTTAGGGCAAGCGGCGTTGCAAATGAAGCCCGGGATTTAAATAGCCTGGGCTTCATTTGCATGTTCCCGGGCGCCGCCATTTTTAAATCCCCCTTAGTCCAAACTCCGTGCCCGCAGCTACACGCTGCACGGAGTAGGTAGTTCGAATTAGGATCTTTAATTCGAATATGCAAATAATGTTATCAGTAAGCTGTGGGCACGGAGTTCGGATTAAGGGGGATTTAAAAATGGCGCGCCCGGGAACATGCAAATGAAGCCCAGGCTATTTAAATCCCGGGCTTCATTTGCAACGCCGCTTGCAATATAGCTCTCCACAAATGTGATAGATATAAGTTGTAAAAAGTTTTATATAAACTTAAAATGTTCTTGATCTTTGCAATATTTGGAATAAATTAAAGACTATGTTTTGGCTTCATTTACTCTGTATTTGCACATCAGAGTTAACATATGACCATGTATCATAGAAGCTTTCTAAAAATAAAACAGCAATCTTCAAACCTTAGATTTGTTTTGGGGGCCTGAAGTAGTTTCAAGAGTGAACACTTCTGTCTTGTACATTATCTGAAAGGCTTTTGTGTTGCTCGGCAGATGCCACAGTTGGAGAAGAAGCTTGAAGAAGAACTTGATCACAATGCCAGAATTGTTGCTTGCCGTTTTCCTTTCCCGCATTGGATGCCAGATCATACTACTGGAGAAGGAATAGACATGGTGTGGGCATATGACTCAAAAACTTTCAAAGGAAATTCTAAACGATACTCAGAAACTGTGCAAAGTACGCATCCTGTGTAAGATTTCAGGTTAAAGAAATATTGTTAGCTTCTTTAAATGGTGATCATCTGATTTGGTTGTTAGCATACCAAAATTTATCATTTTGTTCTTAGTATTTATGAAAGTGGTGGGAGGATAACAGTAAGTAACATTAAATGTTTTTCAAACCCGTTTCATTGTCAGGATGTCCCTGTGGTGTCAAGCAAAATTGCAGTGTAATCTTATGGGACAGCAAAGACAAGGCTGGTGAACATGCAAAACTAAAGGTATGCAAAGGAAACATGCAAAAAGCTTGTATGCATTGATTACAAGAAGAAAGTAAAAAAAAAAAAAGTAGATATTTTAAAAATTACTTTTAATATGAATAGTGGTAAGATGTAGACAGGGTACAGTAACGTTAAGGACACATGCAAAAACTAAATGCTCTATTAAAGTTGTTGTTTTGACTGTTTCTTGTCTGACCTTATTTTGACTTTTCAACATTTGTGCTCAGAAACTTATTCTTTTGGGTAGTCTGATGTGGTATGCAAGCTGCTTTACAGAAACAAGTAATGACTTGGAACTTGAAATTCAAAAGTGGAAGGCAGAGAAGTCATTTATAGATCTATAAGATTAGTATAAAATGATAGCATTCTGATCTGTCAGTCAGTGGCATCTGCCTTACTTTGACTTGTATTTCATTGTTCAAGGCAGTGCAGAATTAGTCCTGGCCTTAAGTAGTTTACATTCTAAATTCATAGGCTACGTCTAGACTGGCCCCTTCTCCGGAAGAGGCATGCAAAGCAGGCAAGTCAGAATAGGGAAATCCGCGGGGGATTTAAATAAACATGGCTGCCGCTTTTTTTCCGGCTTGGGGAAAAGCCGGAAAAGAGCGTCTAGACTGGCGCGATCCTCCGGAATAAAGCCCTTTTCTGGAGGATCTCTTATTCCTACTTGCAAGTAGGAAAAGCGGCGGCCATGTTTATTTAAATCCCGCGGGGGATATTTAAATCCCCCGCGGATTTCCCTATTCTGACTTGCCTGCTTTGCATGCCTCTTCCGGAGAAGGGGCCAGTCTAGATGTAGCCATATTGACAAACATGTAAGAGTCATAGAGGGAAAAGGAAGGATCTGTGTTATAATAGCAAGATAACACAGCTACTTAGCCTCGTTAAATTGAATTATTTTAATCAACTCCTTTTAGGTAGAATTGCAGAAACAATGATTGAGGAGAGATTTCTACTGGTTATAGGTGTTTGCAAATTGACTTTACACAAGAGTCACTCTACCTCTGCTGACAAATGAGAGAAAACAAACATAAAGGTAATCCGTGGAGGAAAAGAATTATCCCTGTTCTTCTGCTTATCAGAAAGGTCTGAGCCCCTCCCACCATTTTTGTAGAAGGGCATTTTGGGAGACAAGAGCTAGTATGAAACCAGAGGAGATTGAAATCTGTAATTGAGGGGGAAAGAAAAATTTTAGTCACTATCTGAAACTCTGAATTTAGTTTTGTTAACACTTAAACTTTTATAATACACTTAAAAGAAGAGCTTTTTTTAAGAGACTTGGCAAAGCTGTATGTTTGAGGCCCAAGCAGCTAGTTTCTAGTCCTCCAAGGTCAAGGAAGGCTGGAGCCAGAATGGAACACAAGACCTGGATGCAAACGCAAAACACAATCAGAAGCCCTTCCCATTTCTCCCTACAAAATATTCAGACTCTCTTTCTATATCAGTTACTATGGTCCTTAAACATGATTCTCATTTATGGTCATATTTTCATCTATGTCCATCATATCACAGTACAGGTTGGACTTCCCTAGTCTGGCACCCTTAGGACTTGCTGGCCCAGGGTAGGTCATATCTGGCCCCCACTGCTGCTGGCTCCACAACACTAGATTGGCCGCAGGTCCTGCTGCCCTGCAGGTCCCTGTCCCCACCCCCACCCTTTGCCTGCCATGCCGGGCAACCTAGCTCGCAGCTTGCTGGGCTCCTGCCATGCTGAGCAGTGCAGATCAGCTGAGGAGCCCTGCTATGGTGTGCAACTCCCGGCTCTTCCAGGCAGCTCTGCTGCAGTGCGCCGAACTTCCGGCCCTTCTGGGCAGCCCAGTTGGGGCACGCTGAGCAGCCCTGCTTTGGCACATCGGGCTCCCAACCCCATCGAGCAGCCTCACGGCCCGAGATCCCCGACTTCTCAGCTGTGGGGATCTAGGGTCCTGGTCCCACTGGCAGCTTGCCAGCAGCCCACAACCCTGCCAGTCCTCAGGGTTCTTAGGCACCAGTACTCCACCAGGATTCTCTGGTTCTAGACCACAGATGTTGCCGGACCAGAGAATCCTGGTTTACAGCAGTTCAACCTGTACTCTACTCTGTTTAAAAACTAAGCCAGATAGATTTGCCTTCGCAATTTTAGTTCTTATAAAGAGAAAAAGGCTTTTATTCTCTCACTTATGGTTTTGGATAAAGATTTTCAGTTCTGTTTTCTTGTTCCTCCTTCCCATCTTTTAAAGAATCCCATCCCTAAAAGAGTGCTCTTTCTGCTGCCCCTCAGGACTGAGGATATTAAGTATCAATTAATTTATTAGTTGATTGACTAGTCGTTAAGGAAGGGCACTTTAAGTGCTCACTTCCGGCTCAGGCTGCCGTCTGGCACTCTGCACTCTTAAAGGGACAGAGAGGAGCTGGCGTGCAAAGACGCTGGCTCAGTCTCTAGTCCCCCTCCAGGTCTTAGGATAACCCTCACGCTGCTCCTCTGCATTTTTAAAGGGACACAACCGGGGGCAGGGGGGCCAGCTGCCACTGCTGCCTCCGTTTTAAAAGTACAGAGTGGTAGCATGAGGGTTGTCCTGAGATCCGGCGGGGGACCGGAGAATGAGCCAGCGACTTTGCATGCAGGCATCTCTCTGTCTCTTTTAAGAGAGCTGGGGGGGGGGGGGGGGAGTAGTCAAGTAGTTGATAGTGCTTCCTGATAAACTCCTGCTTCTTGGGTAGTTGACGACTCCTTTACATCCCTGTTCAGGACCATGCATTGGCATGTTAATTCTTTTAGATGAGTGTGTAATTTTAGAATATTTATAGAGACCAGCTTATACAGTTTTAAAAAATATTAATATTCTATTCCTTTCCAAATATGATTGGACAGATTAACCTCTTAATAGCATATGTAATATTTACTTAGCATTTCACACATTTATTTTACACCCAAAGTTTTGTGATAGCCCTTGATCTTTGCTCTTGATTTTTGACCCAGTCTACTTGTATGCAATGAGTTCATTGTCAGCTAGCTTCATAAAATGCAATGCATGATTCTTACTATCTTGGACATTTGGCTATAGGAACAGACTTAGGGCTCTTATTTACAGGCTGCTGGAAGATAAATCTGCAGTTGTTGTCCACACTGTAAACAAAAGTTAGATTGTGTCTAATGGTTAATTTAAAGGGTAATGCTCATAAATAAGGGGTCTCATATTGAATCAAGTTATTTTCTTCACTGCAGCCTCTGTGCCTACATCTGGTGGCACAAATGCACTGAAAAGGCTACTGACTTTCCCTGTTTGGTATTCTGACATGAAGAACTCCCCAGTTACAGTAAAGCTTCTGTAGCTGGTACCCACACCAACCACTTGCAGCCCCTGGGATAGTTGAGTGTGGCTGGAAGGGTACAATACTACAGCTTTTCTGGGCTGGCATAACAGCTCCTGAAGGGCCATAGTAGGCCAATCAGAGAGGCCTAAGGATGCTCTAAAGCAGGGGTGGGCAAAAGGGCCTCCGCGGAATGGATCCAGCCCACCAAGCAGGTTGATCTGGCCCATGGAGGCCCTGCCACTCCCTGCCCCCCAGGCCAATTAGGGCTTGGGGAAGGGGGAGCGCACAAAACATCCTCCTGCCCTGGCATAACCATGCAACGCTTTGAAGCACCATGCGCTCCTTGCTGGGCAGGAGAAGACGTCATGTGCTCCTTTGCCCCCAAACTCTGATTGGCCTGGGGGGCGGGAGGAGTGCATGAAGTTTCCTCTGCCCTCCCCCTGCCCCGCGAGGAGCGTGCGGCACTTCAAAGTGCCATACTCTCATGCAGGGTGGGGGCAGGACGAAAGAAGCTTGGCACAGCTCTCTTGTGCCCAGGCCTTTGAAGTGTTCCTCGTAGGGCGGGAGGAGGCTTCGCATGCTCCCCAGGCCAATCAGGGCCTGGGGTGGGGGAGCTGCGTGAAGCTTCCTTTGCCCTGTCCCGCTCCTGCGAGGAGCACACAGCACATCAAAGTGCCACATGCTCCTCACAGGATGGGAGGAGGCTTCACACACTCTCCCTACCCCAGGCCCTGATTAGCCAGGAGGTGGGGGAGTGTGTGAAGCCTCTTTCCGCCCTGCCAGGGGCATGTGTGCCTAGTGGGAAGGGGAGGCAAAGGGGCTCCCCCACCCTTAGACCAATCATGGTCTGTAGGTGGGGTAGCCCAGAAGCATCCTGGCCCTGTCCTTTTCGGGCGGCCCGGGGCCACTTCAAAAATTTTTGCCCACCCTTGCTCTAAAGTATACCAGAGCCAATCTAGAATCAATACCATGATCAACCAGCTCCTTTGTGATCCCCTCTATTACAGCTCTGCTCAATAGAGATGAGAATCTGGACCAATAAGACTGTTTTGTGAAAAGGCAGTACTGGTGACAGCAGGTGATGTTTAAGGTAGGCAGAGAAAAGGCAAAATGTTTCTGAAGAATAGAGGATGCAAGACAGAGAATTCCTGTTGTGAAATGTAACAAACATGTGAAAACCTACTTTGGGACTTTTCCTTTTATAAAAGAAATAAGTTAATTAATTGGGAAACCAAGGCCAGGAGTAAGTGACCAGTTTGCTCGAAGTTGTGTGACCATGCAGCTTTCTGTTAAGTCCAGTGCACTGACTATTGGCTCTGAAGAATAGAGGATGCAAGACAGAGAATTCCTGTTGTGAAATGTAACAAACATGTGAAAACCTACTTTGGGACTTTTCCTTTTATAAAAGAAATAAGTTAATTAATTGGGAAACCAAGGCCAGGAGTAAGTGACCAGTTTGCTCGAAGTTGTGTGACCATGCAGCTTTCTGTTAAGTCCAGTGCACTGACTATTGGCTCACG